TGTTACCTCATTGTCTGTCACAAATAGTAATATTAAATTATATAAAAAAACATCCGTTGTTTGATTGCAGTCATGTATGTATATAATGTTTAAATGTATATAAGTATACTGCCTTTTATTCTATACGGCTAAATTATGTTATTCAATTTCCTTAGAGAGATTAAGGAATTCATAGTAGCATCCTTTTCGATAAATAATTAAAGGAAAAACACTGGGACTTTACAAATGGCAATAAGAAATTAGTACATTACAAATTAAAACTAAAATATAACGAGCAACAGTTTCTATTGTTGTATATGTAGGCATTTTTTAATAATTATCTATTATATGTATAGGTACGACAATTAAAACTCTTCTTCTACCAGTTATTCACAGTGAAAAGAACATATATGTATAATAGCAAGATCAAAGAAGTTTTCCCCAAGATGTTTTATTAATATTGATATAAGTAAAGCCTATTCAAATATTTCATATAAAATTTTGAGCATTTTTCTTTAACTTTTTTCAAATTAGAAAACCTTTACCACATTTTTTATTATAAATCAATAATACTAAAACACACTGGAGAAAAAAAAATTCTTTATCTTGCCAGAGATCTAACTTTATTCTACCTATCTCATTTGTGGTCAATTTTGTAGAAAAAATCCATTATTTTTTACTATTTTACACCGGAAGGTCAAGTATAATAATTACTGTAACTACGACAAAATTTATAAATACGAGTGATAAGGACAAGAGTTGATATGGCTTATTTTTGGCCTATGATAGAATCAGTGGTTTTGTTTTTCTTTTTAAGAACATTTTTAAAGTTATTTTGATAAACCCTATATTTTACGGTTTCGCGAATAGCCCAAATTTATTATAAATTATTTTAGTTTTCATAAATTTTAGTTTTTTTGGTCGCATAAAAAGAGCACAAAAAAATAATTTTGATGTGATAATTCTACAAATGTAAAAAAATGACATCATTAATAGTATATTAAAATAAATAAATAATCCCACGTACACACTTTCAATTTTACACAAACGCAAATAAAAACCTTTATCTTCATTACATTATATGAAATAAAAAGCTCTTAAAAGAGTGCGGAACGATCGGCTCACACACACATGACTCAAACGCCATAACATAAGAATACACCTAACTATAACATTCGCTTAGAAGAGTCACTTGCAAATCGAAGACATTATTTTCTAATAATTCAGGCGATTCGCTATTTTTTTTTTTCACTTAATAAACGTTTATCAATTATAATTTTGAAGTAAATATTCAAATGTTAGGCATTCCTTTCTTTGGCTTTAGAAATATAATATTTTAAAAAAAGACAGATGAGCCACAAATCGTCAACCCTTGTCCTACGGCAAGGACCGGCACGACACGACACTTTGCAATAAATGTAGGCAATATTATAATTACCTATTAAAATACTAAATGTGCTCGATAATACATAATATACCCTGTTCGGATAAAATGTGTTTTTAATTAGATACGTACATACTAATAATGGAGAAAAGTCCAAGTGCTTTTTATGTAAATTACCGAAAATATTAACTTAAAAATAAAATTAAAATAATAAATAACACATATTCGACATCACATAGTTTAAATTTTAAATTAACGTAGTTAAAGTACTTACGGGTGGATTGCTTTTAATTATTATAGAGGAGTACAAAAATGCATAATCAAACTGACTCGAAAAAAAATATATCACCTTAAAACCGTTTTGTTATCAGTCTTATCAGAATACAGTCGTTTTCGATTTTTGTACGTAAGTAAATGCTATTATAAACTAAATAATTCCTCGTAAAAAACTTATACTATTGTTTTAGGCTTCGAACGTCTTAAAAGTATGCATTAAAAAAAAAAATAAAAAATTTACACATCCCTATAGAAAGTACGGATTGTTCAAATCTTAATAATTTGTTATAATTCCTGTCCCCACTGTCTCTCGGACCGAGGACCTCTTCAGACCGATGGCCCAATACTATTATGCCTTTTCTGCCACTGGTTCCTATGCTTATTATTAGTCCAAAACACTGTTACCATGTAAATTTACTCAAAATACTTACAGCAAGTACAAATACGTGTAGGTACATATTTCTCTATACATATACAGGTAAGGTAAAACGATCACCGGACACAAAAGTTACACATTTATTTGCCACTATTTCTTCATTTTTTTATATCCTACAAGCGAAAAAGACATATTAGAGGCAGAAACAGGTGTTAAGAGGAGTAGATGTTGACCTACATTACGCAAATAGTTAAGGATCTGGGATGCTTTAGTTTTAAGGAAATGCGAAGATTAGTTAACGATAGGAAAGAGTGGAAGTACGCGTCCAGTCCAACCAGTCTTAGGACTGACGACCTTATGATAAAGTGAAAAAGCTCTAAAAACTGCCTTAAACTAACTGAATTCTCAAAATCTTTTGAACAAAAAGTAACAGCCCTTTAAAAACTTTCAATTACATTAATTGAACTTAGATTTCCTTATTGGCTTAAGGGATTTGTAGAAAAGATGATGCCACCTTTTGATGATTGCATATTGCTACTAGAATATCCCTATGTTTGATTCTTAACTCGCCGCTAGTGTATAAAGAATTGCTCGTGTTAGATTATAGAGTTTCTGAAAGGACAAATCCCTAGGGATTTGTGCATGTAAATTTTACTTCTAGGTGCAAAATACGTGTTCTACTCCTTCTTTTCGAGAACAAATGCAATTTCCTACACTTTAAAATGCATTTACTTAACAAAGTTTCCGCGACCTAAATTCTTCAGATTCGTTGTTCTCGCTTTATCTCTACAAAACTATCTTATATTATTATAAATGAATACCCATAACGTATGATATTTCATTGCGCAATTTTTACATATTACATCGCCAACTATTTGTTAAAATCACACNTATATAAAAGATTTATAAAAATTACTGGACATTTTCACAATCGAAATAACTGTTCAAATTCTAAATTTCCTATACAAGTATATAGTTAAACCATTAAAAGAAATAAAAATAGAAAGAAGTTTTAAAACTACAGTATTTACGTTAAGTGAATATTTTTTTTACGAGCCAATTTGATTCACTAAGTACTAACGCGCAAAAGATATTTCCCTTATTACACCACACATTATACAAGAGAAATAAAAAAACCGACCATTTATACATAGGTACATCGCACATGTTACGTCATTACTTTTACATACCTTTTTCAATCCATGCACACGTAACCCTAACATTCAAATTCGCTCGCCGTGATCGCGTTCAAAGTAATCATCAGTCCTTCCAAGTTTGCCATTTCTTGGTTTAACTCTTCAGTGGAATGAGACGGCTTAAGGGGTTGCACCTCCTCCGCCGTATGGGGCGGCGGATTTGAGGTCGTTATACGAGAGGCTGGGGTACCGACAACAGTCGGATTACAGCCAGCCATTGTCTTTTTATAGGGGGACGTGTTAGGCCGAATTATTATCTGAGACGGTTGCGGAGTTCCTGCAATTAAAAAATAAATTAATTACCAAAAATCCGTTTTCTTACTTTTTAATTCGGAAAGTCAAAAAATAGAATAGGGACGTATGGGTAATTCTGGACCTCTCCCCCGTCTACAAAGTAAGTAAGTTTTATATTTATTAGAAATATGTTGGCTCGTTTTTTGCATTAATGCTTTTACCGATGTTTATTAAGTACTCACCTATATGTTTTGGCTGGGGTGTTCCTGGTGCTGATAGTGGAGGTGGCGCAGGAACACTAAAACTTTTCAACGGATGACCAAGTCCGGGAATCCTCCTTACCGGCTGCGGATCGGCTGTCACATTCATTCCTGGAGCGTACGTACTACCAGGTGGAACATGAGCAATCGGCGGGTGACTAAATATAGTAAAAAAAAAATGTTAATAACTGCAAAAAGATGCAAATGTTTCTTATTATAATACCTAGCATAATTCGAATTGCAAGGTCCAATATCACAGGTACTTCGGGAATTAACTGGACCGCTAAGGTGTTCTGGCATTTGACCATCCATATTTTGGTCCATGGCAATATGGGCTCGGGAAATGTTATACTGTGTTCTGGGGTAATTGGTTCGACTTGAAGGGGTGGAATCATTACTAGTATGGCTCGATGATGCTGTGTTAATCGGAGTTACTATGGCTGTAGCTAAAAATAAAAAACAATAAGCTTACATTTGGCAAGCAAGCTATTTCAAAATGTGTACGGTAAATAAATAGAGTTTCTATTTTCATTGTTAGTTACTTTTATTTTAGCATTAGTCAAAAATTATCCCCTATGTGGGCAACGATTTGAAGACTAGTAAAAGAGCGCTTTTAAAAATAGTGACCTATCATCGTGAAGAAAGCGTTTTATTTAAAGGCTCCTAAAGGTTCAATACTGAATATATCTTTTGGTTAAAACAAGGATATATTTCTGTCTATTTACCCATATATCCAGGCACGTAGGTCGTTTTATCTAATGAATTAGATGGATGATTATCGCGACTGTCGAATTCGTTAGCACCCATACTTCTAGGCAAAGTCACTGCCCCACAGCTACTAGCGCCATCGTTACTACAATGACTCTTTTCTTTCAATTCCATTTGATCATGATGAATCCACAGATCAGGGGGCTTAATCTGCTGACAGCTTTTTTGATATTTGCTTCGTGAACGACTGGGAGACGTCGCACATTCTCTTTTACGATAATAAACAATCACAACGGTAATGACGAGAGTTACGGCTAATACTACACCAGCTATTGCTATATAAATTAGCAACTTATTGGAAAAATAACCTGTAACAATCAAAAGTTAAGCAACACTTCTTGTACTGCTTCGTACCCTTTATTGAACTTATGAACTTTAGCATCTTTCTCTTAAAATTTTAACATTTAATACATGAAGCATATCAATAACAGAAAAAGTACCAGTTAAGTTTAGATATAATTTTAAGTCATGCCTACAATTCATACCTGTACGAAAGGAGGCAAGAGCAGAAAACGGTCCGTTTCCTCCACTGTTTCTAGCCTGCACCTTGAAAAAGTATTCTGTATTTGGTTCCAAATCGCTGATAATGACACTATTCTCATCACCTTTTACTGCTTGAGCAGACCACTCACGATCACGTTTAGTAGTGTTCGTAGTATACAAAATAACGTATCCTATAATAATAAAGACATGGATCAAACTAATGCACTACTTGGTACGTTGATACATTCCAACATTTTATTGTACAAAAAAATTAAATACCCAATAAAAGGTAATAATACCTGTAACTCGGCCGGTTTGTAACTTCAGAGGTTGCCACTGTAATTTTAACACTTGTCCTTCGCCCTCAACAGAAACTACTGATAAGTTTTTAGGTGGAGAATTTGGAGGGTTTTCCCATGTAGCGTTCTGAACTACCATACTCCATGGACTTTCTCTCCGGCCTTAAATTAGAATTACGATTACAAAACTTTGACTCGAAAATTAAAAAAAATGTTTACCTTTTACAACTTTAACGCTAAATTCGTACATAGTGAAAGGTTTCAAGTCGTCGATCTTCACATAAGGGTCCGTAACGTTGACGTACTTGCTTTTAGAACTTTTCTCTGCTGTAAACTTCACCACATAATATCTATCACGAACATACTACGACAAAAAATTAAATTAAAATTACTTAGAATAAAAATAAAACAAACAGTATTTTTACCTGACTTTTGCTAAGCGACGTATCAGTCCAGTACAGCACGACCGAGGACGAACTTAAAACTTGAGCTTTGAGACCTACGGGGGGTATCAAAGGACTTACTATTTCGGGGGGCGGTTCGTCACGCGTTCGTACATTTGCATACAATTGTAAGCCGGCACCTTTCTGATTACTGGCCCGTAAACTAATTACATAATCAGAATTCGGTTCTAAAATAATAATTAGAAAACAATAACTTTAACATGTAAAATAAAATTGAAAACAAACCTAATTTCTCAATAACATAACTTCTCTGTTTCTCGTCCAATTCTTTTGTGTAAATATCAGACACCCCTTTGCCCCATCCCAATATGTAATTTCTTACTTTAATATTTTGGTTTAAGGGTGCGTTCCACATTACCCCTATTTTATCAGAATGTGCTCGCACTACAACAAAACGGTTTTAAGGCGGAGGCATAAAACTAAAATTTATTTATAATAATTTTACTAAATATGTACCTCGTAGTTGCGTTGGAATATCAGGTACTTGAGATTCATCGGAATCGTTTTCTAATGTTTGGCATTCGTACCACTCAGTGGGAGGACCTGTGCCATTCACGTTCAAAGCCCACAATTTTACTTGATAAGTTGATCCCTTTTCTAAATTACTTAATGTAAAAGAACGCAAATTAGCTGGAGTAGTTATTGTATCCCCTTTTCTACCCAATTTCCGATAGCGAAGCTTATATCCGGTTATTATACCATTTTGACCGTCAGGCGCAGGGGGCTCCCAATATACAATAATGGACTTTAAAAGAGTAAAAAAATGAAAAGTACTAAAACGTGTATATACAAATGAAGTATTTTCTTACCGTGCTACTTGCAGGCTCCAATGTAACATTAAGGGGTGATTCAGAGGGTGGTGCACTGAATGTCCTCACTAATTTTTCTTCTGAAGCAGCACCTGCCCCGTTCTGATTTATTGCAACCACCCAAACACTGTACTCTGTATAAATTGACAATCCCAGTATATCACACTGCAGATTTGTTGTTTCAATGTTGTGCTCAGTAGAAGACATTGTCTGAAAGAGTATTTTGAAGACATTAATTTTCTCTTCCATACTATGCATAAAAGAAATATCTTTTACATCTTTAAAAGAAAAAACATATACCTCCATATAGTAAACTCTATAAAGTTGTATTTCTCCATTTTGAACTAATGGGGGCTTCCAAGTTGCATGTATAGACATTACGCTGGTCGCATAAGCATTAAACTGTTCTGGGGCACTGGGAACACGCTCCTCGGTCTGAGTTGTCACTTTCAGACTCTCAGAGGATAAGCCTGGACCCAATTTACTATATGCCACAACCCTAAAAAAATAAACCTGGCCTGGTTGCAAACCTCCGATGTTGATGTCCTCCAAACGGGATCTTGTTGTATTTTGAACCCTTTCCCTAATACAAAGAAAAATAAAACATACAAAATCATATTTTTAGGGTTACAATTCAAAACAATTGTATATGCACCTTTCACTGCTTCCTCGCTTATAATAGACAGAATAAGCAATTATATCTCCATTATAATTGGGAGGTGGTTGCCAGCTTAGAGTTACAAATCGTGCTTTAACAATGGAAGCTTTCAGATTAATTGGAGGCCCAGGAACTTCTTCTTGAACATTCTTTTCATCTCCATCTGCTATAATGGGTTTGGTGATAGGGGTGGATTCAGTGTAAGCAGAGAGAATATCTCCTAGATTAGTACTATTACTACTACTAGCTAAAGTGTTTTGCAAAGAATCGAGAATTTTATGTCTGTCTTGCTTATTGCTAATGTTAAGGATAGGATCACTACTGTATTGCAGTTGTTTTGGTATTGCAAAACTACCAAACTGAACCTCCCCCAAGCTACTAGATTCATCCGATTTTAAATGTGCAAAAGCAGTACGTGATTGTAATTTGTTAATGGTAGGTAACGATTCATCTTTAGAAAACTTCTTCCTATTGTGGGATTTTTTTACTTTTTCTGTTATTATAAAAGCAAGAGAAAAAGTAAAGAGGGATAAATAGCATGCGTTTAGTAAAGGATGTTAATATTAACATATATAATAGGGTTGAAATACGCAACGTTAGTACAGTGACAATAATGAATATAGGAATTCAATCAAAACAGGAACAGGTTGTAAGGGTAAGGGTAAAAGGAAAAATAAAACAGAAATTAATAATTAAAAGAACTTTGAGAAACAAAATAAAATTATGCAGAAAATACCTACAATTCCATAAATTAAAGAGAAATTGAAACTAGCAGAAAATGGTGATCATTCTTGAATGCACAACTAGTAAAAATTTTATTTTCTAATAACAAATATTTTGGGATTAATTAATGAATAATAATGAGTAAGATGATATTTTAAGTACACATTTTTGAAAACAACTAAAAGCCTAATTCCTGAAATTACTCTTCTGGTTCCTCCTTAATAAATGAAATCAATAAACAAAATACATTTTTTAAATATTAAGTGTAGTTTGTATGAATCTGTTCAAATGTTGGTCGACATATTATTCAAAGACGAGTTACAAGAAATGGAAAAGCAAAATTTACGAAAAATACCTGCACTTGTGACTTTTAAACTGGCAGAAGCCTGAATGTTCCCTGCTGGATTTGATGCAATACATTGAAACAAACCACTATCTGATGTCATCAGGCCCAAAATTTTTAAGTTATTTCTACAATATGCAAAATTACAAAAACCATCACAATAAAAACGCTTACTAATTAATACCCATTCACTATTTGATAGTATTCAGTAGGAATAATGATTTCCCCATTTTTTAACCATTCTATTTTCGGTTCTGGTTTGCCATAAACAGAGCATTCGAATTCTGTGTCTTTATTTATCACATCAACTTTGTCCATTGGTTTCTTAAGGAATTTTGGTGGCACCTAGGAAGAGAATGTAAGACGATATTTAAAAAAATATAATATAATTTACTTATAAATAAATTTTCCGTTTTTTTCATGAACTTTGAATTGTAAGAATATTAATCTCAACTTAAATTGTTTAAGTATAAGAAATATTACCTGAACCTGAAGAGTAACTGATGCATCTACGCTATCCTCTCTATTTTCAGCCCTACACTGATACACCCCAGCATCAGATTCTTCAATTTTTTTAATTTGCAACGACGTTGTCGATCCAACCCAACTGAACCTACTGTCCAAGTTCCTTTAAGAAAATATAATAATCGATTATTGACTTTGTTAAGCCAAAAAGAGACTTCTACATACGCCATATCAACAGTGTAACCGTCTTTTAGCCACGTAATAGTAGGATAGGGGTTGCCGTTGGCAGTGCAGTCTAGAGTTACAGTTTCACCCTCTTTAACTATTTTCGACTGGGGCAGAGCAATGAAACTGGGGGCTGAAATACTAGCCGCTTGTTCCTGGTCTTCGTTTATAATTAAATTAGCTTTATTACTAAGCCTGTACGTGTTTACGCTCGACACATTGCATCTACATAAACCGAAAGGATAATAAATATTTTAACGCTCTAAACACTTTAAAATCGTACCTGTAACTTCCTTGATCGGCACTTTTAACTTCGTCTATTTCCAACGCTCCTGACGGTAATATTGCCATTCTTAACTTGTCCAGTTGCAATGGTCTTTCATCCTTTAACCACCTTATCCGAGGTGGAAGGGACGTTTGTACTCGACACGCAAAATACGCCTTTTGACCAGGATAAACTGTTATGTCTCGGGGTTCTTGTAGAAAACCGGATAAAGCTTTAAAATGAATTTAGATACGATTATAAATATTAAATATCCACATCCATGACAATTCTCAAAAGTACTTAATTGATTAAAATTAAAATATAAAACTCGATATATTCTGGATCATCATAATCATAACGTAATTTCTTTTCATATCACGATTCCCCATTTTTTCTTGTATTTATATTACAAAAACCCTTAACCATATTAATAAAACAAATTATGCATATGAATTGTGATAATAACTAAAGGTATATTTATAAGATATAGGCAAAGTAAAAAAGGTCAGTTTTATGCCTATACTTACTAGCTATAGTTAAATGGGCAACCCGACTAACCACAGCTCCTACATTAGGAAGTGAAGCGAGGCACTGGTAATTTCCTGAAAGTTCTTCAGATACACTAGCTATATATAACGATCCATTTGCTAATTGAGATCTGGAATAAAGTAAGGAAAATGTTAACGACGATTTAACAGTAAGTATAAAATAGTTACCTATAAAAATCACCTAGGTACGAAAGTGGTTGACGATCTTGGTCCAACCATTGTATTGTAACCATATTAGAAGGATACTCTTGGGCTGTTTTTACCACGCAGTCCAAAACACACGACTGACCGGCTTCAACAGTCGTATCAGCAGGTTCGATAATAAATTCCACAATGTATGCTAAAACGAAGTACATTCAAAGAATTGTATACAAAATACTCATGTTTTAACAAGACTAAACAATTTATAATGTAATAAAAATTATCACCAACACTAAAAGAAAGGTACAGATTTGAATATTACAAAGGGATAGAGGGACACACTAGTTATAAAAAAGCAAAAATTAAAAACATTTCAAGCAATCCATTCTCAGTGTTTGAAACAAAAAAATATTTTCTGTATTTAAAGAACATTCTATTATTGGAATTGAGATCTGAAGGTACAATTTCACTGTTTTTTTTGTTTATATGATGCAACTGGCAGTAAAATCGTAAAAATAACTGGAACCATCAGATGTAATTTCGAGAGTACGTGTGGCAAGTTTCATTATCTTAATAATTACTAAATACCATGTCAACCTTATACCCTTTCAGATATTAAACAAAAAAAGGAACTTTTTTGGACTTATTTTTGCATAAAGAGAAACATAATAATGAAATAATTGCACATAATTCTTTAACAGAAAAATATAAAAACTTATTTTACACCTAAACAGTAAAAAACAAAGATATTTTCACCTTTAAATATTCTAATTATTTTGAATTAAACTTGGTATCTATTAACCAATGTTTTATCTAGTATTGTTTCTGTAGTGATTGCATTCATGTTTTGATGCACATTTCAAAAAGTAAATATCGAACATAAGGACCTGAAGATACGACGTAATGTATATAATTGACTTGTATAATAGTTACTATTTTATTAAAAAGTGGCAATGTAAAATAATATAAAATATATGTACTCTGCATATCTAATTGCAATCGGCCACCTTTTAAAAATTTATATAATAAATAACTGTTGCATTTTTGTAAATGTATTACACACATTCTAGCAAAATGACCAACAATTTTATCAATATAACATTTAAAAAGCAATTTTATCTCTATAACTTTTTAAAAAGTAAAATGTACACAACACCAATTTACCTTGAATATGTGTTAAAACAGAAGTCACAATTAAAACATGCACATACTTTTTCAATATAAAACACCCACTGTTTGTCCGCATTGTATCGTACAACTTATTTATCATTGTTCTTATATAACTAGCACAAATTAATTACGATTTAATATATTAATACAAAATAATAAATAATAACAGACAACGCCATTGATGACAACTTAACATGACACTTCTCCAGATTTGACAGCGACAGCCATGCGACAGCATTGGACAGCATCTTGATTTGACGGCATTGACCTATTATCTATGGCTTCGACCATGCTTTGACGTATAAGAACATTAAAATAATTCTTCATTTAGCGTGAATTTTAATATATTTACCTTTCTTTCTGCACATTTGTATCAATAAGCAAAGAATATTCATAAATAAGTATTTAATATTTATTANTAGCGGTAGCAGAGCCTGTAGGGGGCGGGCATCCAGATGCTATGGGACGAACGCTGCTTTGTCCCACGAGAGACGACACAGCCATTTGGAATACAAGTGGTGAACAATTGTGCGTTGTTTGTCAGTATTTCCCCCTTTCAAGGGCCCTATTACCCTGCAGGTACGGTACATATTAAAATATCTACTGTTTTTTATTTATAATAATTAAAAATGTTTTTGGCAGTACAATATATGATATTATTTTCAGACATACATGCATTTGTGCAAGCTGTTTCGACAGATTAGATCGTTGTCCAATGTGCAGGGGGCCCATAAAAAGTTACTTCTGCATCCGGGGTGAATACTTTAATTTTCTTATTTCTAGTTTAATTGGAGGAAGTGACTATAAATTAATTTATAGGCATTATGCCACTCTTTATTTTGTTTTTTGTGTGGATTCATCAGAGAGTGAATTAGGAATTTTGGATTTAATACAGGTGTTTGTAGAAACATTAGACAAATGCTTTGAGAATGTATGTGAATTAGATTTAATATTCCATGTTGATAAAGTACATTTTATTCTAAATGAATTAGTAATGGGCGGAATGGTATTAGAAACAAATATGACTGAGATTTTAACAAGAATTGAAGATCAAAATAAATTTGAAAAACAGGAGGTATGTTTCATTTTACAATTGTTGAATGTTTTTCATGAAAATGTTCATTTCAGGCCGGTATTATAGCTGCTCCTGCAAGAGCTGTATCAGCTGTAAAAAACATGAACATTCCACAACAAATTAAAGATATGAAATTGCCTGATTTGCCTCAAGCAATTAAAGACCTTAAATTTTGACAATCTCTTATATTCCCCTCATTTTTTAAGTAGTAGTTCATGTAAGTTATTTGTTAATTAAGAGTACTGTTTCTCATTGTATATTTAAAAATAATACAATGGCAATTATTTACTGTTGGTGTGTAAAAAGGAATAAAATCATAAATTGAACTTGTCTTTTTAGTTAGAACAGTTAAGTAAAATATGAAAGTAAATATTTAGATAATACAGAACCAAACATACCAGATTCTTTTTAAGGCTGTATGTTGTAGTAAAATGCATCATCCTGATAATCAAAAACAACAGTGCAGGAATACCTTAATATTTTGTTTACTAATAAATTACATAATGCTGGATTCTACATTCACAAAAATAGAATTTTATCTTTTAATTTGAAAGTCTTTAAATGAAAATTCACTGATTTCCCTTTCATTTTCAAATATAGCTTTATCTATTTGTGATTGTGGGCTTCCTTTAAATTGTAACCAATTTTTCCTAAAATCAGAAATCATATGAAATTCAATACTTCTTACAATTAATACTTTGCTAACATCTGATTAACACCATCTTCAGGTCCTTCCAAAACTCCTTTTACTGTTCCTTGACTAGTATTTCTACACCAACCTTTCAAACCTAATTTTTGGGCTTGCTCTTGCGTATGCTTTTGCAGATATTAATTCCACATATTAATTAAAGGAACAACATTTAATGTAAGGAAAAAATATCCTTACCTTTCGAAAGAACACTCCTGCAAAATGTATTGAAAATTATTTAACTGTTCAAGAATATTTCAACTGAGTTATCAAACCTTGAACTCGACCATAAACTTCAAAATCTAATCCTTTGAGCTTTTTTGTTGCCATAATTCCGAAATACCTCAACATCCGAGATTAAATAAACAATTGTCGATAAAAATGTCATAACCTCATGTCATAACAATTTCAACTAGATACAGGGTGTTTCAAAGAAACTATGCGTCTGTATGAATGGGTTGAACTTATAACGTTAATAAATTCTCTAAAAGAAATCAAAATCAAGTACCTACATAATATATGCTTTTTAGTCTTTTAAGATTAGTTGGTATATAATTAACAATTTATAAATTAAATCGTTATAATCAATCATAATCCGTGATAGTTATTTTTTTACTTATAATGCAAAAAAATATCATTCTAATTCGTTAATTATTTCAAATTTAAATTGTTAAATACTCAATAAATATGCATCGAATCAAAGAAATTAAAAAAAGTGAATAGAATTTTAAAAACAATTGAATAATATTGCAGACCAATAATATATAATAATTTTAATTATTCACAAACATTTAATAAAAAACATAAAGTTGTCTAAATTGAAATCTAAAATTACAATAAAGGTTTTTATTTTGTCAAACAATAATTTCTATAATCTTCGAAATTAAATAGAAAGTAATTGTAATGGAATGTCTTACAGTTTTGAACATGCTCGAACTTGTTTATAACTGCTCCGAAATGTGAGAAACCAAAAATTTCTTCGTTGTCATTCTACGTGAATCACCTCGATGAAGTGCACCGTTTTATTCAAATTATTTAAAAGAAAAAAATAGACTTTTACGGTTTTTAAATGTTATTTAGCGCTTATTGTGTGTGAAAACAGTGTTTCTTAAAAATGAGCTTTCGAAACATTTTTTATGAAATTAGTAATGAAGCGGAAAACGTCGTGTTTAAAACTTAGTCATTTACTTATTAGTAAATTAAATTATTATATGGAAAGTAATTTCGAAGTAGAATGGTCTTGCCACGATAAAAAAATGAGAAAACGAAAATTAATAAGATTGTAAGTATTTCTTTTACTGTTCAGTTTACTATAACATTACTTAATTGGAAACCTATACGAATGAAAACAGTTTTTCTGCTATTATTCAAAAACTTTATAATGAATAAAACTTTATTATATTTAAAAAAAAATCGTGATAAAATATTTGAATTTTCTTCACGCTAGATGCTATATAACCACTACTTACTTTTACCAATCGTAAATAAGGAAAAATCTAAAAATTACCAGGACACAATACTATAATACCCTAAAATACCCAACACAACAATTGACAAGAAAACCGTAGCGGTAGCCATTACTATTACCTATCATATTATTATTGAAATCAGCAATGTCTAAAACGCCATCGTCCATCAATAACAGAGTTTGAATGAACGGTGTTTTATTGACTATTCAAGGAAATTAGATAAGCTCACATTGATTGTAATGTGAAATAACAGAAAATTGGTGAAATTTGCCATTTTAATATCAGTTGTGTTAAGTTAAAAATAAACCTAAACGGCCTATTTAAATAGTCTGAATTAGTTTCAGTGAAACGTGTGTCCATATTTCTTAATTAAGGATGCACTGCAAACAATATATCATTTTTGTGTTTGTGTTATAATTAAAAGTGTTTATATATCGTACAGAGCAAATAAACAAGAATCACGGCTGCAGATATGGTTAAAAGGTTAGATTAGCCATTTATGCTTTTCTTATTATGTTTCATGTTTTTTTTGTCTTGGTTATTGTTCTCCACACTTTTCTCTCTAGTTCCTTTTTCCTAAGAAGAGTTCAACAAAAAAAACAATGAGTAATGAATTAAACCATACGTTTAGATCATTTTACTAATTACAGCAATAAAATAAATGCACCCTATACTTCAAACAAGTGATATTTTCAAAAACTTCCTAATAATTCTTACATTACATAAAACAGTTTGTTGGTTTGAATTGGATTGTTGTTTATTAATAACAATGAAATTGTTTAGTTTTAATGTAATTTCCATTGTTTAGGTCTGATGGAACTGAATCACCAATTTTAGAGGAACAGGACAATTCTGAGAAACCTAAGCAAACAGTTAAATATGGAGAACTTGTAATTCTAGGGTAAATATGTTATTATTATCATTTTGCACACTTAGCATTAATAGCAAATTGTCCAATTCCATGTCAGAAATTTGTCCACCAAACTTTAAACAAAAATAGTCTTGTGTATTGTAGATATAATGGATCACTGCAGCCAGCTGATAGGGGTAGGAAAAAAAGCAAATTTGCTCTATATCGTAGGCAAGAGGCAAATGGAGTTAAAAGATCAAAACATTATGTTGTAAAAACTCCCCAAACAACACAAGCCATTTTAGATGCAAAACAACATTCAATATCCTACACATTGTCTCGAAATCATGCAGTTATTGTGGAGTATACACCAGATGATGAAACTGACATGTTTCAGGTAAGGAAAATAAATTATAAATTGGAAACATGAAATGTTTGAAGCATATTACTTTATAATTCAGAACAAATACCTAAATATTTCCTCCACATTTAGATTGGACGTTCTTCAGAGTCACCAATTGATTTTATAGTTATGGATACAATTCCAGGACCAGATAAATCTACTGAAAAAGTTGTACAAAGTACGATTTCTAGGTTTGCATGTCGAATTTTAGCAGACAGGAACAATCCAACGATATGTAGAGTGTATGCTGCAGGCTTTGATTCTTCTAGAAATATTTTCCTAGGTGTAAGTAAATATTTCCAAAAAAAAAAACTATCTAATTAAAAATTATAAAACGACCTACAATGTATATCTTACTTGTAAATTTATTAAACAGTATTTGTATAATTTTAGGAAAAAGCCAACAAATGGCAAGAAAATGGGAAAGACATTGACGGTCAAACAACGAACGGTATTCTTATATTCCATCCTCGTGGCTCGTTTATTGGGGGAGAGGCAGCTAATGGATCATGGCTTGAGACCTCTGTTGGCGGTGGTGTTTATTTTCTTAGAGAATCTAGATCTGCCCAACAGAAAGGCCAGAAAGTAAGACAAATATGTTTTTTTCATTGTTTGTTAATTACTTTTAATCAACGACTAATTTTTTTTTTAAAATTTAGGTAGAAGACGAGACAAATATTCTTCAAGACGGAACCCTTATAGATCTTTGCGGTGCGACATTACTGTGGAGGTCTGCGGAAAGTTTAGCAAAATCTCCTGTATGTATTTATGTAATTCAAATCTGTGTGTTTATTTATTTATAATTTTGCAGTTGTGATGTAAAATTAATTTGAACATTTCTTTTAGACAAAAAAAGACTTAGAACGCGGTATTGACGAAATAAACGCAGGTAGACCGCAATGTCCTGTGGGTCTAAATACGTTAGTGATTCCCCGTAGGGTAACTGGAAACGAAAATCAACAACAACCCTATGTATATCTTAATTGTGGACATGTACAAGGCCACCATGACTGGGGACAGGATAAAGATTCGGAGAGTCGAAAATGTCCAATCTGTCTTAAGGTATTGCTTACGTATTTATATCAGAGATATTTTTACGTATTACTCTATCGAATTACTTTACTTTTGTCTTATTAATTATCAAGTGTAATTTTTAAACTATTAAAATTTTAAAGGTTCGAAAAATATTTTCGGTTTCATTTAACTTTTGTTTTTTGTTTTAAAGCTTGGTCCTGTAGTTAAATTGTGCATGGGTTTGGAACCAGCCTTCTACGTTGATTCTGGTCCTCCAACATTTGCATTCAATCCCTGTGGACACATGGCAACTGAAAAAACAGTCAAGTAAGTTTTTTTTTTCATTTAAAATTACAGATCATAAACGTTTATTGTATTATTTCAAAGGTATTGGGCCCGTATACCAATTCCTCATGGTACAAATAGCTTTCATGTGATGTGCCCGTTTTGTGCAACGACTCTAGCAGGATCACCCGGTTATGTGCGTCTCATTTTTCAGGACAACGTCGACTAGAAAGATCGTCCTGGCAGAGAACGTCCTTTAATAATTCTTCAATTTAATTTATTAAGGTAACTATATGTTAATAACGAAACGCGCGCGATTTTTATTATTTTTTTTTTGTGCTGTCTCGGTTATTGCTCATGTTATTTAATTTATTTAGTTATAATTTCCTCTTCAACTTTTACCGAATTAAATGACCTAAATAATCAGAATTTCGTTCCCTAAACATTAGCTTCTATCTAATTAAAATTATTTATTATCGTAATCATCTATTTCTTGCTTGGAAGCAGGTCTTTTTTTATGTTTATTGGACGAAAGATAAGATAGTAAGCATTACTAAATAAATATTTCAATTTATTTATCTTCCAACTGTCACCTTTTTAATATTCACGAAATATGTACAATACTTTAACTTTTTCCATAATTTTCTTGATATTGTTCAACAGCCTCTCATTTTTCTTTGGAAATTAAAGACTTCGTTGCGGTCTTTGGAAAAGATGAAATATAAATATAATTAATACAATTAATTAAAATACTATTTTTTTACTGAAGTGGAAAAGTTAATGTATTTCAATATATCAATTAAATTATGAATTTCTAAATTGAAATGAAAATGTGGTTTTATCCCGTGCAACATATTTTAAAGTATATATATTTCTTCACCAAAGGTTTATTTATGTTGCCCTAGATTTTAGATAACTGTTGTTCCTTTTTTATCCCAAAAAAGCATTACATTCGTTTGGGCCTACTATTAGCAATATGTATTCGCTTTATTATTGCGCAAAACTTCACATTACAATGAAAATCCAGGCAGAACTTCCAATAGTGCTTCTGAAATTGAAAATGGTAGAAATATTTTGTATAGAAGTGCAGACTATAGAATTACTTTAAAATTATTCATGGCACGATAACAAAAATATTTTTTGAATGAGAACTAAATTGCAGTTGCACTGTTTGATTCGAGTAAATTGTTCACGAGTTATTAGAATGTTTTCACAAGTTTGCAAAAAAGTTACTGTGCATGTTTTATTGAATAAAAGTTGAAAATATAAAAAAATATCAAAAGTTTCCAATTCGGTTTTAATGTGTTGTATATTTAATGCCCAAAAGATGTAAATAAATGTACCTACTGTAGATAAAGAAATTCATTTGTTTTTTAAATTTTGCAAGTTATTTTTGGAAACAGAAATTGAAAATTTCATTAAAGCCTACAAGTATATAAACATAAATAATAATAATGATAATAAAATATAATATATTTCAGTAGTTTTTTGTATGTATCGAAATGGTTTTTTCAAAACGAATTCTACTTATTGATAATTTAAAAAAGTAAATAAAATCCGATGCTTTAACAAAACAAATTTTATTTGTTTCTTCCCCAAAATTAGTACAATTTTGTTAAATGTTTTTTTTGAATTTAAAATCCAAAAATACAACCTTCCATTAGGTATATATAAATTGTATAAATACCTAAAAGAAACGAAACTGTTGACTTTATATACATATGCATATATGAATTATTTGTATTATCTTTTATTTAATAGTTCCACTTAATTTCCCTTTATGTTCTTTTTTATTAATAATGCCAGGGCAAATAAGGATTTAGCATAAATAAAAGGATGACTTTTACAGAAAAATAATGTATATTGATATAAAAAGCATGTACATTAAAAAAAATATGATAATCCATTGAAGTCACTTTTTACCTTAAACCTTCAAATAAATAAATACAAAAGATTAGTTATTTACGTCAAGTTTCGATGATAAAAGCGTGAAGGCTTTAATTTTTTTCTGAAATAATTCACGTGTTACATTTAGATTTGCCTACAAAAAATATTTTCGAATTATATTTACATTTTTATATTTCACACTGATTCAAAATACCTGTAGTATATGTAAGCCGTTCATACTAATGATAATTAATTCCCTTATACCATCCCCAGTTATGTCAGTATGTTTTATGTTAAAAATTGGTGATGGAAATTGTTTTATGTTTTCTAAAATCCAACCATTNACATTTTTTTATATAATTTCTTCCCTTTTAAAAGAAGAGTTTTACCTGTGTACTGGTACCAAACAGAATTTCTTTATTTCCATCGAAATCAATGTCGGCCACTTCTGAACACGTTATAACCCCCGTTGTTTCAAATTTAGGAAGGGTGGTATATTTTTTAAGGCCATAATTCAAAACATCCCTATTAAAAAGAACTTAGTACAGTCACATATGTTTAAAGGAAAAAATAAGTAGTTTACTTGAAAATAACGGACGGTAACAAGGTATTTGTTACTAGAACATTTAAAACTAAATTATTAGGAGGTTCATTCTGCACAAAGCTGAATATCTTGGAGATTTTTGGATCATCACTTACACTGTCGTTTTCAGTAAATATTCTAACATTAGAAATGATATTATCTAATTGAGTTGAGAACCTGAAAATTACTTCTTTTTTATCTACCGAGACCTTACAAATTCGAAAATATCCACATTCGCAGCCAAACGCCGTAAGTCTTCTAAAGAAAAGTTGAGTACAATAAGATCAACAATCAACGAAATAATGAACTTATAATTACTCTTTATCATTTTCATAATAAAAAACGTCTATCCATGTAACTACAGATGGTAATTTAGAGAATTCTGGAAAATAATCATTAGAATCAATCTCTTTGTATGTATGTTTGGTTTGATTCTCTCGGTAAACGTGAATCTGAATATCGCTACCAGAAAGTAAAAATACCACCTAAAAATGTAAAACAAAGAGTAAAAACAATAATTACATGTTATATATATTGTTACCTCCTTTTTGTAGGTAGCGGCATTACTGTTGCTTATTAGGTACGTGTGTGTCAGATGATAGGGCACAAACTTTAACTCTATATTCAAACAGTTTTGAGATATACTTTCAATGTTCAAATCGGCACTTTCTTCCCATTCTGAATAAATGTTTAAGTAGTATGTCTCTGTAGAATTCAAATCAAAACCTTTCTAAAATATAAATTAAAATGAAGAAAAGACACTTAAAGTTCTAAACAAAACCAAAGCAACGCTCTAAATTATAATTTAAAGAACAGAAAACTATTTCAGAAATGCATGTCATAAAGCTATACCTTTATTATGGTAATTCCAAAAACAAAATCGTTGCCATTTTCTGACTTGTTAAATGCATCTAAGGAGATAATTTCAGCACCACCTAAACAACAGAAACACTTCCACATAAAATTATTAAAATAAGGTATTAGTGACTTCTTACTTGGAATGTATGTAAAAGAAATGTGTTTGGTAGTTGAATACAAATTTCCAGATGAGTTTTCTTGATATTCAAAGCAAATAACTTCTCTCTTCAACGCAGCTAACAATAATTTGTTAAATCCATTAGCCAATTTTATACATGAAGAGGTGTAAATATTTCCTTGTGAGGAAAGAGGTACAAAATGGCAATCTTTATAGTAATTCATTAAAATAATTAAAGGGTAAATATATAAAATAATTTTTTTATTAACTGCCTTGAGAGGTTATGTTCTTTCGCACTTTTTCTTTGTTTGCATTTACGGCACCATTATCAATGAAAAATATTTCCAGCACTTATGTTTTTACTATCTAATTAATAAATATACATTTTTAAACATATAAAACTACCAAATATTAGGTAAATGTGAACACAATAAGTTAGGTTACTAGTATTACCAAAATACAAACAACAGCGAAATCACGTAGTGTTTATGGATAATGATGGTGAATATATCTTACCTATTAATTAAAAAATAAAATTAAAGTCACATATTTTATAAATCAATGTAGAAGCATATCGTGCTGAAAGCTTTTTAGTTCAATGTAGAATCCACATGTTTTTCATAATTATTTTATAATTAATGTCTTTGGTACCTTAGATAGTTCCATGTTTTTTAATTGTACAATGACGTATAACATGTTGCTGGAGTACGGGTTGTGTTTCCAATTTTGTTGTTATATATCGGACTGTTTTGACAATCTACTCATTTAATTGACGGTTATTGAACAGTTTAGTGTTTTCGTGAAATGGTTACAAATATTTTTAATAAACGCGATAAATATCAAAACCAAATTAACTGTGCAACGAATGCTAATTACAAATATAATTCATGTGTAAATGTATAGTCCGTGGTGATCGTGTATCAACGAAGTGGTATTCTTTAAAAAGGAAAATGCACTGTTGTGTTTTATAAATACATTACAAAGCGCTAAAAAAGTAAAGATTAATTACTGTTGTGATAATTTCAAACTCTACCCGGTTATGACATTTACAACAATGCTAATTTCAGTAGCAGAATTTTCTAACATCTTTTCAGTCTTGGCTGTCCTTCTCTGTTTTTGTGCCATGATACTATTTATTACAAGGTAAATATTCTTATTTCCTATAAGGCAGCTAAGATTCTGTATATAAATATTTTAAAATTGGATTTTGTTGTCCTAGAAACATGATGGTTTTACGAGTACATGGTGAGGACTTAGTTTTTCCAAACTCTTTACATCAAGTTACCCCAAGAATACCACAAATGAACATGATGAAAGTTCATATACCTTATACTTTTAAATTAATTGAAACTTCTAAGTCTTCATATTCTGGTAAGCTCCATATAAAAAGATTATTTAGCTTTGTATACTTAATAATTATTATTTATCATTCATGGGGCATTTTTTGGTGGCCTTTAAATATTTTTAGCCTTGAAGTTGTAAATAATAATAATAGAACCATGGAAAATTCTTTTTATAAAGCTAACAGTTTAAATTTTTATTCATGTATATCACAATTGTGATGTATTATTCATAATTTTTTGATTAGTTAATAAAATCCTTGATTAATAACAAATTAATAAAACACCATAATATTAAAGCGTGAGCAAATATTACACATGAATCAATGTATGTGGGTTACAAAATTGGGCAAGTGGACGCTAAAAAAAAAGCAGGTTATCCAGTTTTTTTTTAATCGTTAATGTCGTTTATTCTGCACTCGAGATAGGAACGTGCTAGATTCGTTTACTGTGACATACAACTTTCACTTACTGTATTATTACGGAATATGCGATCTGCATTACGTAATCCGCCGTGGCCTCAATCCTTTCCAGTACTGGCTTCTACAATCATCACATAATCGCATTGTACACAAAGTACACCTAATAACAAAATTAATAGTACACTCTTATTTATCAAATGACCAAATCTCACTATTGTCTATAGCGTTAAACTTAAACATTCTAATTTTTCTAAAATATAGATGAAATTAGCGTTCCAAGTTTCCGCGTTTTCTTATCTTTTTATTTTCCTATCCAAATAAGGAATATAAGTACAGTACCCACAGTTTAATTAGTAAAACTAAATTGTATTTTCAACTTTCATGTGGCTTACAAATAACTGTGGATTTATTTAAATTTATCTTTTACAAATGTTATATGAGAAGCAATTTTTTTTAAAGGAAATATAATTGAAACTAGCTTTTGATATTTATCTTAAAATTTTATATGAAGTATCAGTATCTTACAAGAATTATTAAAAATTAAAAAATATTTGCTTATGAAGGCTGCAAGACTTATACAATATATCCCAGTTTCAGCTACCTACTTATTATCTAAAAATAATTTTAGTATTGATTTGAAAATTTCTGTAGTTATCTTAATTCCTTTTTTAGTACTTCCAATACAAACTAATCATGAAACATCGTCATACAAATGGGTTCTTACTAAGCGCAAGGAATAATAAATAATTTTTGTTGTATTTATAATAAACAATCAGTGGAATAATTAACGTTTTTGACGTAAATGAACATGTACGTGACCGTTACAGACTAATGAATGAAAAATTAGTATGTTATTAAATAACGTTATCTATTGTACTTGTTCGTGCGTGTTAGATAATTTTATTTAAAGAAACATTAACAAAATGTTTACGTAAAATGGACATTTACTTAATCAAAATTTAATTATAAGCGCACTCTAAATACACAAAAAAAATAACATCATTAAACAAGTGCATCATTTTAACACGTTTGTTGGATCTTTGCGGAACATTTTTACCTTTTTCTATACCTTCTTCTACATGCTGCTTAATAATAGCAAATTATTCTTTATCAATTTTTTTTGTATTTGTTTTCGTGCGTATGAATTTTTTATCATGTTATTATACTTTATATTTTTTATTCGGAGGTGTAAGAATAATAAAATAATAACTAAACATCTCAAACATAAACTACGTGATTTAAATGTTAAATTAATTCCTGTTTATAATAAATTTTGTTAGAAATACAAAATTCAATTAGTAATTTCAAGCTGGAAAAGTACACTTTTTGAAATAATTGTTATCTGTGAGTTAAACTGTACGTAAAATACCTTATGTTTTCATAGTTTAATTGCAATAAAAGTAAATATTTTGATTAATTAGCACATTTAATTTTATACGATGCCGTAAATTGCAGGAGTGCTATGCTTGATTTCCAGTCAAGTCCGATATAAAATGCTGGTGTATTGGGGTGTGAATATAAGAGAGTTGCACATTAACTTATGGAGACCGTGGACCACATTAAGAGAGGAACTCTCCAAAAACGTTTTTTTAAACGGACATTATCAACAAGTGGGCTTTTCTTCCACGTACGTTTAAATTTTTGTTAATTGGTTAACGATCACACTAATTTCGGTCACAAGCAATTTAATTTACCTTTTTTGGTTTGAGCTGTAGATATTATTTCAATTTTTTTCACTTAAACGAAAATATATTGATTTATTATTGAATTTCCAACCCGTTTGTATTTTATAATTGCATATATTTTTTTTTTCAGAAGAGACCCACATGCGGATGAGGTACTTACTTTAAGCCTACCAGATACACAATTAGACCTAGGTACACCGCCGCGTCTTTGCTATCCCCTGGTAATCTTTTTAATTAGAGTTGAAGACTCCGGAGCCATACATCCCGATGAAACGGTAAACATTAAAAAACAATTTAATTACTGTAGATTTCTCGTAGTCAATTAAAAATTAATAGTTACGATTTCAAAAGAAGTATTAAATTATTCTTGAAAACGTTTCTTTTAAATTAATTTGTCAACTTTATAGATTTTGCAATTTATTTCTTAATATTAGAAACATTAATTTATTATCCCATGGCATTTAATTAAATTATTTTTAGGTGTCATTAATTAATGTCGTCCATATCAGAGATTCTGTTTGCACCCTGCCCACCAGTGTTTTAGCTCAGTATCTGAAACAGGCCAACGGACAGTTGTCTTGCCTAAAGGTAAAACAAATAAACTTTGTATGAGCACATTTCCAAACATTTTATGTAATGAAGTCTCTAAAATACAAGATGTAACTTTAATAAAGATTGATTTTGGTTTTTTCTTCTTTAAGCAACTGTACTTAGCTACAGGCAATCCAGGCAATTACGAAGATAGTCAAATACCATTAGCGGTAGCAGAGCCTGTAGGGGGCGGGCATCCAGATGCTATGGGACGAACGCTGCTTTGTCCCACGAGAGACGACACAGCCATTTGGAATACAAGTGGTGAACAATTGTGCGTTGTTTGTCAGTATTTCCCCCTTTCAAGGGCCCTATTACCCTGCAGGTACGGTACATATTAAAATATCTACTGTTTTTTATTTATAATAATTAAAAATGTTTTTGGCAGTACAATATATGATATTATTTTCAGACATACATGCATTTGTGCAAGCTGTTTCGACAGATTAGATCGTTGTCCAATGTGCAGGGGGCCCATAAAAAGTTACTTCTGCATCCGGGGTGAAGAATACATGCCCATAGAGGCGGAAATAAAAAACGGTACCCAAGATCCCGTCCATGGACCTTTGTATAATTGGCTGGACAGTTGGAACGACCGTCTGATAGACTTCCTTGGCTTTCAAAGGTAATGTTCAACATCTTGACGTGTTTTGATTTTTTTTGTTTATAAATTTCCTCGTTCCTTTTATTTCGTCCTTCTTTCTATAAAGATATATATGTATATACGTATGCATACAATAGTTTGCCGTCCTTATAAACGGCCCTAAAATTTCGTATAGTTATTAGCAATTATTTATTATGAACATTACGCGTAAATAATGGCTCTTTATTAATTTATTTTTGTACGTCAGTGCAATATAACCAAAAGTTATTAATGTATCTGGTAACATAGTCCCTGCTCTTCAAAGAATTTGCATCGCATAGGTAACAATCAGTTTTTTTTTTATAATCAAACAAAAAATATTTACCAATGAATGTAGAAAGTGCCATTAATCAAAATTTAATCTAAAATATTTGAAAAAAATAAAGTTGAAATTCTTTTTAAAACGATTTAAGCAAAATTGTATTATTTTGGGGCTACATTAAAAAAAAACAATAATTGGAAAACATTGGTAAATATAAATTAATTCGTAATTAATAAAAAATTACTGATAAATTACGTAAAAACGCAGTATTATTGACGAACACTGCAAATTTATATTTTTTTATTGTAAAATAAGAAATATAATTAATTAATTAATAAAAAA